TCGCTTGGTTGGGTCAGCAGGTGATGCGATTTGACAGTTGTCCAGATATGCTCCTCCGGTGCCTTCCAGCTCCCTCGCTACGGCACCCCAGACGCTAGTCGCGGCTCCCTGCTCAGGACTCTTCCAATACTTCTTCAGCCATTCATCGCCATCCCACGCGGATTTCTGTTCATCCGAGACATGCCGAAGGAGCTCGGTGGCGATCGCACCAGGGTGCAGACTAAAAGCATGAAGACCCTTTGAGCCATAGCGTCTCTCAATCTCATTAGCCGTCCAGATGTTTGCTGTCTTGCTTTGACCGTATGCTTTCCATGCTTCGTATTCACCTTCTAAAGTGATGTTATCGAAATGAACCGACGAAACCCGGTGAGCGCTGGAAGCGACCACGACCACTCGGGACTGGAAATCAGCGGTTGATGAAGAGAGCAAGAGTGGCTTCAGCAGGTAAAAGAGCAGGAAATGAGCCAGGTGGTTTGTGCCGAACTGCGTTTCGAACCCATCCGCCGTCCGACCCTCGGGGCATGCCATCACGCCGGCGTTCTCGATCAGGATGTTCAGAGCACTCTCTTTAGACGTGAATTCTTCAGCGCAGGCGCGGACAGATGCCAAGGAATTCAGATCTAGGTGGAGAAGATGGACCCGCGGACTATCAACGATCTCACTCAATGCGGTCTTGGCCTTTCCTAGGTCTCGGGCCGTCAGGTATAGTGTCGCGCCTGTGTGGAAGAGGGCCTTGGCGGTCTCGATACCGAGCCCGGATGAACAGCCTGTGATCATGACCACCTTGCCGGTGAGATCGTTTATTCGGTTTTCGTCCTGGACGATTTGTAATGCGGTAGGTCGTGCATCGCCAGGTCCCTGGAGGGACTCATGGGCTTTGGCATATCTTGATTGTGTAGAGGACATTGTTGAATATATATATTTTAGAATGGAAGTTCAATGCTTGTTATGGAGAATGTTGTGTTGATTACCAGAGAAGGTGAACTGGCCATCTATCCTAGCAACACGAGCTCAATTTATATCCCAATACTTCCCTTCTAGACCATTCCCCAAGACCCAAGTTGTCCTGACTAAAATGTCATCATCACTTATTCACAAGAGGCTATTTACGATAACCCCGATGGTTACTCTGCCAAATGTGGAGCTTTCGGGAAAAACAGATCATACATCTACACGCCATCCGTCAGCGACAAACATTAGTTCATTATGAATCCTTCTTAACTCCTTACCATCCTCTCCTACTGCCTTTGAACACACCCCTATATCCGCTCAAACTCCGGAGGGGGCGATTACCCTCATCAGGAGATGATCAACAGCCTTTAACTCCTTCGGCCGACGGCATGCCGATCATCTCCAAATTTCGGCCTAAATCCACTACATCGGACCAAGAAGACGCTAAATCATGCTCCAACTCTATTCTCATGACCCAGCGAGCCAATGACAAGGGCCAAGGCAAGGCCGAGAAGAACTTCCTTCGCCCGAAATAGTTTAGGTTCCGCCGAAATATATCGGACTTTGGCTACGTCATGATTGTATATTAGGTTTTCGTGCTTCGTGTAGTTCGAACTGAACGATTTTTAAAAATGCCCAAAACACGATGTACGAAGAAGACACTTTCATTCAACAGCAGCTTCATTGTTACAGATCTCAGAAATCTTTGTCCGGAGACTAATTCCAAAGTCAAATCTATCCGATTCGATCGCCGATCTCCAACACCATGTCTTCCCCTACGCAGGTCCTCTTCCCTTCTTTCCACCTGAAGATTGCCGGTGAGCTCCACGCGCCGGTGGACGGTGCCCCAGACCGCAAAGGCGCCGCCGTGGTAGTTAGCCACCCGATGACCGGTGTGAAAGAGCAAACCTCGACCGACTACGCGAAAGCCCTGGCTAAGGCCGGCTTCTACGCCCTCACCTTCGACGCCGGCTACCAAGGCGAAAGCACCGGCGAGCCCCGCGGCCTCGAAGACCCCCACCAGCGTGTCGAAGACATCAAGGCAGCCGTCAGCTACCTGACAACACTGAAGGATCAGGTGGACGCATCGCGGATCGGAGTGCTGGGCATCTGCGCCTCGGGCGGCTACGCGTCCTACGCCGCTCAGTCGGACGCTCGCATCCGCGCGCTGGCTACCGTCAGCGCGGCCTGCGTCGGTCGCATGACACGCAACGGAGGTGTGCATGAGCACAATAAGGAGAATGCCCAGGCTATCGCAGGTGCCCTTCAGTTTGCCGGCCAGTGGCGGACCACCGTCGCCAGCGGTGCTCCCAGCGAGGCCCCTGCCATGTTCGATGCCACGAATGTGGCGGACGATGCGGATTCGTTCTTCAAGGACGCTGCCGCGTACTATGGAACGAGCAGGGGAAAGCATGAGCGCTCGACTCAGAAGGTGCCCCCGGTCAGCTATGATCTTATGGTTCCCTATGACTCGTTCAACTTCCAGCACCTCATCTCGCCCAGACCGCTATTGATGATTGCCGGTAGTGAGGCGCAGACGCTTCACTACAGTAAGACGGCAGTCGAGGCTGCGAAGGAGCCCAAGGAGTTGTTCGTTGTGAAGGGCAAGAACCACTTCGACATCTATGATGATCTGAATGAGTCTGGCCCCAAGCTGGTTGATTTCTTTGGAAAGAACCTTCAATAGACTTACCGAACGAGACGGTTTACACGATTGAATGATGGATATGAACCTTTTAATCTGTACATAGTTAACTAATAATGAAAAGGCTCGCCTGTGTCGCAATGCGATCAATCGCTCAAGTTGGTAGATGCTAAGGAGAAACAATGTGCTCTCTTCTTTTAGGGCTCAGGCATTCAAGAAGCACGTTAGAATAATCATGGAGTTGATTTGGAGTTGTGATCAGTGATCACAGTGCACCGGCCACCATATTCGCTGTGTTGTTGCAAATTAGACGGCGATGATCGAGTAAAACATGTCTTAGGCAAAAGCACCGTCTGAAATGGTGGATGCGCCTTTGACCCCCAACGACATACTCCCGGCTGGTGCAAGGGCATTGTAGGTAATTTTGAGAGAAACAAGGCATTTCAACTTAGAGCCTCCGAATGCTCAAAAACAAAGATTACGGACGTCTGTAAAGTAACGAGGCATTAACACTAAACACGACCGAAAAACGAGGAAGATTGTATAGGAGGAAATTCACCAACATCATACCTGTACAGCGTCGGTAACGGCAGCTCCCTAGGGAGCTCCAGCCTGCAGACTCTCCCGCCATCGCGACGACATGGATGCGCTGTATCCATATCAGATTTGCCGCACGAAAGGGGTAGACCCCAATTCCGAAGCGCATAAACCGGCAGAGTCCAGGGTTCCGATTGATGGGGGGGGGGGGGGGGGTGGCTACAGAATTCCCCATAGGTTTCAGCGCGCAGTGATAGCCCTTGCATATTGTGGGAGGGCCATGGCAGAGACCCGCGACGCTATCCGTATGCACATTTCAAGGTATCGTCAATCGAAATAAAACTTCGGGGTTCCATGATCCTGGTGGGACTATTGTCATGTGGCGCACTTTCGGCCGAAGGGAAAATCAACCTGAGAACTGATCGGTGAGGCTGTTGAGTTTGGGCACCCTTTTCGCTGCTTTGTTTGGCGGTGGGGTGGGGGACAATAATACGTAGGCAATTCTTCTCCATAATGAAAAAGAAGAAAAAGAAAGACAAGCGCAAATGGAGACGGGATGGTCACTAATCTGTCGGAGTTGAGATTCACACCGGGTTATACTTTTTTCTGACAGTTGTTTTGAAGGAATTATTGGGTTTTGTGGCTACAGTTGGATATGACAGACATTCGACGCCAAGATATCAGAACAAGATCACCGTCACGGATCTGCAGATTTCCACATGGTCTAGATGAACAGAGGTCTTGGGGGCCAGGGATCTCAAAGAGAGTGGGTCTTCGAATGACTTCCTGACACGGAGATATTCTCATGCACAATGGCTTCAGCCCGCTCACTGTCGGTACAATCGACCAGGAATCCATGTTCCCGGCTCAGAATACGACGAAAATTACGAGTCTCATTCTTGTTATTTGTGATTAGTCCTCCGCTGAGAACAACAAAGATGTAGCAAGAGGGTGCGAAAGAATCAGGGATCGTCAGGGCCATGTGTCCATGACGATATAGATCAGGTTAGGTAACGTGCCGTCGCCCTCTTCATAGTCTTTCCGAAGTAACATACGTCGCCCAAACACATGGTTAGGGCAATTTTCCCTTAAGAGAAAAGGAAATGACAATGAAAATGAAAACAGAGAAAAAAAGAAAGGAAAGAAGATGGAAAGAGAGAGAACCGCGGGAAGGGAACCTGTTCTTCAAAGGCCGAGGTCGGGAATCGGGATTCGAACTAGACCGTCTAATGATAGCCTTACCAATGCTGGCTAGTCTACTCAAGAATACAACTATCCACACTGTCGTTTACATAACTATAATTCAAGGAAAAGAACGAGAGACGATCACCATTGCCAGGACGTGGTGCCGCCGTGGGTATATGTGTGACCTAAAAGAGATGATTAGATATGGACTATTGAGTTGACACCTCCTACTCCTTGCCCTATGCTGGCTAGATTCGGCCAATACCTAAATCCTGATGGCCAATTTGGAATAAGCCATATGCCCAACCATCCGTCTAATGTTAAGCGTATCCCAAGTTCTCCACTTGGACTTTACGTAGTGCTTACTTGTTTGTTATTCCTTGCTTTGAGTTCCGTATATGATCTTGGACTCCTGAAGCCCAATCGCAACCCCTACCACGGTTATTCACTGTCACCCCCATAGGGCTCGACTTGCACCGTACTTGTTCCTAATTGAGGTCCCTGCATTAGCAGTGGAGTCATGTTTGGGAGAGAAAATAAGACGTCATTGGAACTACCCCACAGCTCTAGACGAGGAAGTCGGTCGGTAGTATGTTCTTTGGACAAAGCAAAGCAGGCTTCTGCACCAGGAGTTGTTTCACCGCCTGAAAAAGTCGGCACTCTTTACTATCCAGGTAAAAAGATGCGAGGCATTTACATTCTGAAAGTAATCCTTGGGGGGTTCACCCGAGACAAGGAGACAACAAAGGGAGCAAGCATTGACCTACAAAGTGTTTATTCTTTACCGAAATAGGCTTTGTGGCAAATTGTGGCTAATGCACTCTAGTAGAAATGGTGGCAGGCAGCCGACCTACTCTCTGCACACTCACACAGTTACGCTGGGACATCTACCACGCCACAGTGGCAAAATCTGCGAGGCTGAGCGCAGATCGCTGTGGCTTCCGCGGCTTCCGGGGAGGGTGTCTCTATACCGACTCAATATTAAGTGTTCACATAGTTGAAACTAGCACCTTGCTTAACCGCACTATATCTTGTGATATCTTCATAGCTAGGCATCAACTTATCGATTGGTCCGCTGGCCTATAGGAGGTGTGTATGTATACTAGTATACAGCTCGTCTTCGTATGTCCCTGCATGTAATTTTGCAATTTAGCATACAATAACTCATACATAGCTCGATCTATCTATCGAAATCAATTTAGTTTCTACCTACCTGTATCCTTCCGAGTTGGACAATCTTCAATCAGAGGTCGCTTAATCCCTCGCCTAGAAAGGAGAATAGTCCCGTCTGAAGTGTGGCAAACTTCATCCAGTACCCCCTTACGTCTGTCAGTCCACCAATTAAGCTAGAAGGAATAGTACGCATGGGTCTCGTAAACGTGCATTTGCACCTTATGTGAGTGAATTCCTGGAAATACCCTCGGGATCATCCCTTCGGCGTTAAAGTCATTAGGATGTGCCGCTCTTATCCTGCATATAATGGGGCTGTAGGACTTGGCGTTGATAGCGCGAAGCATTGGTCCGTCGGTTTTAAACTTGACCTGGTAACTTTGTGCTGAGATCATTTCTCGAGATAGATCAACGAATACATTCTTTGTGAGAAGATAATTAGAAAAACGAATTAAGAGCGGGGTAAAAAAACACCTTAAGAGACACTCGACTTCAACCCAGTGATGAGCTGACACGGCCAACGGCGATCTCGCATACTACAGCACACCGCTATGCAGTATAGTCACTACATCAACATAGGTTCTAGCCTACGGACCTCGACCACTCATGATCTTTGGTCTCGAAGACGCTGTTGGGAAATTGCTGTCCCTTGAGTCTTCCATTCATATCAAGACACAACAGTCCCAACAGAGATCAACCTAAGGTCCATGGTCGAGGTTGCAGAACACGGGCGGGATGCATCAATTATGTCTGCATCACATTCCACAACCACCAGTGTATCTATCAGATTCTGCCAGGGGTGATATATTCCCTATTCGCATCAGAAATATGCCGTCTCAACCACACGTCACGGCAGTGGCAACTCGCTTGTTGCTGCTCACCGCTCATCCTTCCATTCTCTACAACATCACTGGATGTATACAATGCATAGTTATGCAGTTATGGTGCCAATTCACGTCAGCTTCTGGCGCGAGTAGAATGTCTGGAGCCAACCCTTGATTTTCTGGGTCACTATTGCTTTTTCTAGAAACGTATCTGCTTGCGTAATCTGCGATAACTGGACAGGAGATTAGGAATAATGACTGCGAGGCAGTATTGGCTGAATGTCGGCTATGACACCGTCCAATCTATCCCGCAACGGTATTCGCATACTAATGCAGTAGACACCTGATAGTTCCATATTGCAGGGTGTGGATCTGACTAAGGCGCAAAATCTCCCGTCCGCATTCACGATGTGGCAAATCCCCCTGGACCCTTACCGTCCAGCCGACATTAGACGAAGTTTTTGAATTAAGAATTGAGTTTAATAAAAAAAGACAAAGGACAACAAGACAAAGAAACCCTTTTCCGAGATCGTTTCAGCTTCTTACCTATTATCATAAGCATCTTGGTGTCGGGAAACTTTAGTAAGGATGAGAACATCCTTACTAAAAAATCTCACCCTTACATTACATTACAATACCGACCAGATGCATGGGTATGTATCTAATGTGCCTTAGCTAGGTAGGAATCACCTCGATGTTATGTCTGTACTCTGTACAGACATGCGTGTATTGCACAATGGAAGATTCCGTAGGGTCAGGGGTTTTATTGCCGCTGCGCCTACTTGTGGTATATGACCCTGCGTGGTAGATAGTGCTGATATCTTTTCAATGAGTAAATTGATCCATAGTTAACACTACCTAAATCAAAGCGACAATTACCAACGCACCCCAAAACTGCTATAAGTGTCTAGTGTCGCCTGAACCATGAGGACAGAGTAGTAGTCTAGACGTACAGATGCAGATGCGAGCGTCACCAGTTGGATTAACATGTCGCCCATCTACAAGCCTATCCCTAGAGACGTTCACAACTTTGTTCTTGTTGCTTGGAGGATAACCCAGGTGCAGCCCGGGATACTACGTGACAACCCCAAAATAAAAATAGCAGGAAGAAAGAACAAGCCTTGGTTCGCAGTGGCTCTTCCACTTTACAAGTTTCGTACAAGAGAGTATGTAGTTACATCCATACATGGAAGATGATCCTAACTTCCAAGGCAGGGTAGGGTCTAATGGTTGTTGTATGTGGACCCTGGCCCATGTCTTGTACAACCTCGTAGCTCTGTTGCTAGCAGCATAAACTATAGATTGGTAGTTACACAGCATGATTCTATATAAATACAAAGCATTGACATCAACTACTAGTAGACAAGGAGGTGAGAGGTAGGAAGAGTACTCATAGGAGTGTCTGTCAGCGTATTGTCACAATCACGGGAAACAATTATTGATGTAAATTTAAACCATGGTACAGTATGGGGTTCACTAGGGGGCATAGATTTCTACAATTGTCTGGAGTGGAGCTGATTCGGCGATCGTGTATCTCAGGCTTCTCTTTTTCTTTTTTTTTTTCTTTTTTTCTTGTCTCCTGATTGATGTTGAAAGTTGGATCTGTGAGCAGGCCATCCCGCTTTTTCGTTCCCGTAAAGCGTCAGACCGATCTGCGGGTTAAACAAAACTTGACATACGTAAGATGCAAAATGTAAACAAACATACGTAGAAAGCAATATTGTCCATTTAATCCATGTAATTTAATCTCGAGTCATAGGATGGATACGAGGAACAAAGGAGACTTCAGGACAAACAATATAGATTCCTTTCCTAATCCAGCTCTAAGCCACAACTCTAAGTATGAGGGAAGCTGCACGGATATCTCGAATCTTGGGCTTATGGCCCTATCATCCATTTTCCCGGATCCACTGCCAGCAAGAAGAGGACACACGATGACCATGCTTTTGTTTTTCGCCATCCGCTAAAGGGACAGAGTATGTACCCTCCCTTTCCTGCATCGATCTGTATTGTACTAGCCTATTTGATGTTATTTTTATATTTTGATTTTCCTTTCATTTCTGGTTTTCTTTTTTTCTCAGGTGTATTTTTCGATTTTATTTGCTTATCTTTCTTGTTCAATTTTTTTTCTCTCTTCTTTTTTTTCCTCATTCCCGTTTATTAGTTTCTGGGTAGGAAATTTTCAAGTAAAAAAAAAAAAAAGAAAAAAAGAAAAAGAAAAAGAAAATAAAAAGGAAAAAGGTTCTATTCGCTTTGCATTATCGATTACATTGCATCATTAACCTATTATTTAGAATCATAATAATTTAACCCTCGAAACTAAATAAGGTACCCCAACCTGACGGAAAATGTCCCGGGCAGACCAGATCTGGTGGGATGATGATTATTGGCAGTACTTTAGCACTACACACTTAGCACTATTGGCTATTAAAAAAATCACAAAAAATAACCCAAGATCCAGAAATATTATTTATATTTTTATTCGTTCCCAATCTATAGCCTACCAACCGTTTCCAAACTCTCCAATTTCTTTCTACGGGCCTGCCAACGTCTCCCAAGAGTTACTCCATCGGGGAGACCCGTTCTTGTTAGTCGCACCGAAATAATATACTACAAATCCACTTCAGTCCAGCTCCGCAGGCTGTTTCTTTTTTACCCTCTCGGCCGTTTCTTGTCTCCCCTTTCTTCTTTTCTCTCTTCAGCCTTTTTTCCTTTTCTCAAAAAATCGATGTATGTCTCATGCGCCCCGTTTCATATTCTTCTCAAATGGGCCCCCCTTCTCTAAAGAACTATATCTCCGTCCTTTGCCCATTGCATCTTTCCCCTCCCCCTCCTCGGTCTGTTCCTTGGTCATGAGCCGTGTCTGGCTCGCGCGTATGTAGATGGACCTTGCCTAGCAGATGTCTATGAACGAATACCATCCTGGAAGAGGACTGGCGTTTTCTATCAAAACCCTGTTCCAGTCCTCTCCATCTCCATCTCCGTCTCGACGCAGGGTGTCTGTCCTGCTTCGTCGAGGCAGGAGTGTTTTTAAAAACAAGTAATTCCCCTCTCACCTGCTCCCCCACTCGGTCAATTTCAATTGCTCTTGTTATGAGAGGAAATTGGCCCTTTCACATTGATATCCTAAGTCTTGACCCGCCCACTCACAAACACACGCGCGCGCGCGCACTCACGCACTAAAAGCTAGAGGAGCTAGGGAACATATTCTGAAATTAAGGAGAAACAAGGATAGGGGCTAAGATTGCGTTTCCAACAGGAACCCTGAGAATCAGTCGAGTCGTTCATCCGGGACCCAAATGAACTCGACGCCACATTCCGACCCAACTGCGATGTTTGGACTTACTGGAACCTCCCCTGGGGTGAATGGTGATGGATTCGATATCTTCGAGTGGTACCCCCACTATCAGAATTGCCAGCGTTACTTCCTCGACCATGCACAACATAGTACCACCGTTCAGGCACTTTCAACATTCTTAAATATCCGCCTCCCGTTTCAACGTCAACCACACCCTGTGTTCAATTCTTCCACCGATCACACCCCAACTGCCAATACCGCATCTCCGTCAACTTCCAATCCAAATCCTCCCCCGCCTGTCTCTCTGATCCCTTATATTCGTCGTCTTGTGGCTACGGGGATGGATTTCCCCGGTGTACTACATGGATTCTTCGGCGACGATTGGGGGTCTGGCGTTGGGTTTCTGCATGAGCAAGAGCGTCGCAACTATCTTTTCGCCGCGAAGAGTGGGGGCTGGGCTTGTGTGAAAAAGGACTACGATATCTCTCCCCTAGAGACCATTCCTTTCTTGCGTCCCTTGCAAGGACCCTTGGATTCGGAGATCGAAGCGGCCGAGAGGAGCTGGAGTGAGTGGCTTGCGATGGAAGATTGGATGGTTGGACCACGGCGCGACCTCCTTCGTGACTCCTCTTCACTAATGTCGCGACCCCGAAGTTCGCGAGGTTGACTTTGATATGGCCCTTTTTCTTCATTCATATCTATTTTTCCTTCCTTTTTTTTCTTGGATATCCAGCACGGAGCGATACCACGGAGTTCTATGGAATCATCGTTATAGCGATATTTCACATCACGAGATGACGACCATACGACCTTAAACTTTGAAGAGCGATGGGTTTCGTGGCCCTCCTATTCAGGAGAATGGCCGGGACTTTGAATGCCACCGGAACAGAAAGGTACTGTTTCTAGGAAGTGCAATAATAAGAATATATATGCATACAAACATCTTCTATGCTTTTGATTTTTCTTCTTTTTACTTTACCCGTTCGTTATTGGGAACGGGATACTCTTTCATTCTAATGGTAGTGTCTGAAGGCCTCATGATTGCACCAGGGGAGGGGGCTCGCACTACAGATTCATAGGACGGTCACTTCCGTTTTAGCGTGAATTCCGGCTACCTGGTCCTGGACCATTATGTGGCATAGCGGCGGGAAATGTACCGAGTGGGAAGTACCCTGGATACAGTTGGGTTGAACTCAAAAGGGAACGTCCGTATATACGCATCCATTAACCTCGGGGTGGTGGGTTAGAGTTTGCTCATGAGGCCCCACTAGTTTGTGCTGCCCATAAGTGGCAGGTTAAGACTCCGCCAACTTGTTCAATTCCTTGGTTTCTGGTGGGGAAGACATCAGTTCGATCGTGTTTCAAGCTCACATAATCATTCGGGTTGGAAAACATGGGACGCAATGTAGCCGAGGCGAGCGTACTGGTTTCCAAGGCATCCATGTGTATGTGACATAAGATTGAATGGCTGGCTCTTAATCATTCCCTTTCAAAGATCCAAAAGAACCTTCATTTTTCTCAACGCTATTCTCTGGTGAGCTCGACGGTGACCAGATGTGTTTGTGGCGAGCTGAATGGCGGAGTCTAACAATTAGTCTACGGGCCATTGAGCGTTCGTGGTCGGGGCTCACGGGAGGGATCCCAAACGCCTAACTTAGTCGGGAGCCTATCTCCAGGTACCCGGGATTTGGTGATGAATGCCCGCACTATGGAGTACGGATCGCTTCCTTTTCTTTAAGGGGCCTAGTAGGTACTACTAACCCCTCTCTCAGGAGGAATTTTGGGTGTAGTCTCTACCGCCCGACACACTTAGCCAAAGTACTCGTCGTATACAGTGCATCGGACAAATCTACTTAAGTCTTCGGAAATTGGTCATTCGATTTGATGAAGTCCCGATTACAAATACGGAGAGATGGTGGCTCCCCACTTGACCCACATGGTCAGTCAAGAACTTTTCGATTCGATCTGAATTGAGCTGACCTGTTGAGTCGGCTTTTACCTACGCTGTTTTTGGCTCCCTGCATTGTGGGAGCGGTAAATGTTCGGACCCGGCCTTGCATCGGATTCCAGGAATCTAGGTCAACGTTTACCTCAAAGTCTGGAGTACTAAGTATTATATATATAGATCACTCCTTATACCACTGCAACTACCTACCTAAGTACCACTCCCTCCCTGTATCGGGTAACTTTGATGGAGTGCGAGTAGTTCTGGGCTATGATTCGTCTCAGGTGTTTAATCACTCCTTCTCCGGAGTCCTTAGATCAACCAATGATCTAGATCGTACGGCAAGTCTCCGAGAAACTCTACTCGGGTTAACTACTTACGTACTAGCAGTACTACTGGGAATATGACCCTCCCGTCCTTTCCCTTTAGTTCCTGTTTTACTCCTCTCAAGTTGGCTATGTACATACCAGACACTGCGCGATTGCAGTATATACTTGACCTCGGGATACGACGTCGGGGCTTTACCACTACTCAGCGCAGTGATTCCTGACTTCACACGGAGGCTTGTACTTCGTATCCATGGATATTATTCTGAATGTAGTAGTTCTACCCTATTGGTTAGCGTGGTCAATTCCGACAGGAAACCGCTCCACAATGGACGGAGCTGTGAGATGGACAGAAAAAATTATGGAGAACATAATGTACATACATATGAGTCGCATGGCTCGGAGAATTAATTTTCGTTGCGCGTCAGCTGACTGATCTAGCAGTTGGCCCAACGGCTACTTTATTCCAACCTGGCAGCAATAGTTGAACAAGTGTAAGGGTTTATTTGTATGTGAGAGAATGCTATGAGACGTTTATCTACTATTGCATAGCAATCAGATGCGCCTTTAAGGGATTGTTTTATACGGTATGGTAAAAACATAGTGTGATTTTGTCGTCTGAGGGCGAGACGTAATGGCCGTGATATATCACCGGTACAGTATTCAAAGTATCTATGCCTCCTATATATTCTGTCCGATCGACCTTCAAGTTGGTACCACACTCTATTTTGGATGTCGATCCTGTCTTCCAAGTTTAACTGTTCAGGAGAACTCCTGGAGTGCATAATCCGTACATTAACAATTCGGACACGATATATATCATCAGCCTTGTTTATGCCTTAGAACGACGGCATAATTTCGCTACCAAAAAAAGTCCTTCCACCCACAAGTTGCAAAACGTTCACCCACCTGCAAAAACCGTAAACCCCTATCGGCAACCACAGGAAAATTTTCATTACAATCCACATCCCAACCTGAAGATCTTTCGTTTATCGGGTGGGGAGATCGGCAAGGAGATGAGACAGATACACTGCGGACACAAGATCTACTGTACTTGCCCTTTTTGGTATTGAAGACCGCCGTCTCATACCCGGGTTTTCCTTCATCGTCGCTATTTTAGGGAGATCCACTTTTTCTTCTTTACCTAAAAGGAGCAAGCGGTATAATATCCGACATTTACTTCGTCCAACTGGTTGTTTCCATGGTCGGACTGATTTCTCACTCGGCTGTGGTGATTTTGGTATGAAACAGGTTGTGCGATCTCGGCTTTACGGCGAGTGGGGGTCCGGTAAAACGGATATCGGCCTGGTTGCTTTACCTAAAAGGTGGGCTGGATTGGTTCCGATGATGAAGTTGGATGCTTTGCGGAGATCGTGTTTTTCGCTTCGTAAGGTTGTATTGGACTTGTGTCGATGGTATTTTCTACCGAAGTATAGTACAGAGTACTGTCCATAACTTTAGGCTCCATAGGCCTATCTAGAATCTAGATTGCCAGAAAACAATGGCAGCGAATGTAAAAACAGGCTTTTGTCTACTGTGGGGTGATGAGCTTCAACTACTACGAGAAAATGCTTGTATCGGGCGGTGATCTATAAAGCAGATAATTTGCGACTTGTACTCCACCATATGATGTTGTCAAAATGGCATGATATCAAAGGTCGAAGTTATTATTGCAAGTTTGTTTGCAGTGATCTCCAGCGCACTTTACCGCAACAAGAAATCCGTCATGTGATTGATTACATAAAATCACGTGGATCACGCCGTGGACGTCTCGAAACAGTGCCGTGTTTGTTGATGCTTGAAGCTTCAGTATGCGACCTGAGCAAAATGCTTAAGCACTGGCACCAGGACTGTGGAGGTGGATATATGTTTTAAGCAGGCGGTTCTGTTTGTCTGATATGATCTGCCTGAGGTCTGCGAGGGAAGACAAAAAATTATCGGGAACATGACGTCCTCCGAACAATGGGGGGCATTCCTCCATCAGTGTCTCATGCGTCGGATAGATGCCACCGAGTTTAAGACTCTATCGAAAATACTATTCCGGAGATGTCCTATTGCCGAGGGTACTCTTCTTGATGTATTGCTGGAAATACGTCTGGCAACCGGAATCAAATGGGATCCGCTTCTCCCCCTTTACATAGACTGTCTCTGCAAGATGGGCAAGGTGCAGACCTCTACAGTTCTGACGTCACTTTTGAAGTACTCATCTATTCATGACAAGCCGCAGTCTCCTGACTCCGAAGCTGTTCAGAGCAAAAAGGCCCTGAAGTGCTATACCTTGATGACGGATATCAGAGTTATACAGGATGCTATGCTCTCCGTCTCCACCGGTAGCACCCCGAAGTCACTTGCCGATGCTGTCGGCATTTTTTCAGCTATTATAGACTGGATTCAGGCTGTCGTGGCATGGCACAATAATCATATAGATCCCAATCAACAGACAGGCGGGTTGATGAGCTCCCCGGATGCGGTGTCCTTGTTCGAGTCGCTAGGAATCCTCCTTACGGCTCTGTCCGGGACTGGAAAGGGAATTGAAGTCCTTTCCAGTGACTCCCACGAAGGTACAGATCTTCTTTCGTTATTCATTGTCTATGTGAGCGTATGTGCTGACGCCTAGTAGCGCTAAAGGTCAAATTGGGTCAGGCTCTTTCAGCATATCTCCCGCTTTGCATGGAAGTTTCACTTCCGCTTCGCAATAGATTGGACAGCCTACAGAAGGGATTCAATCTGTATGGGGAGCCGCCAAACAAGTCGTTGCAGTCTATGATGGACAATGTAAATGTGAATGCGCTTCAATTCGAGGCCTCTGTTATGGATGGGCCTGTCATAAATTCGAGAGCTGGTCTCTACATATATATAAATGCAATGGTATTTCCCGTCATAAGCATCATTGTTTGTTCCCAATGCTGACTCTTTAGCTTGTGGGCCGTCCTTTGGTAGACGACAGCATGCTACTCAACTATCTCACTAATCGCTATGGGGTAGGTGATGGAATGTGCTGTTTCCTCAGCTAGTTTATATCAGTGTATCTAACATCAATAGGGACACTATGACGTGCTTGTTGAGGAGGTTATAACCGCTACATTCGATGTTCTCTCGAACGCACTGTATCGCAACGAATCCAGTCGAACGATGTTTATGTTCCGTTCGTTCCTGGTAAACAAGCTCCCATCATTTTTCGCGGCCATGATGGCAGCATCAATGGTCTCGCTGCCAATGGAAATGTGCATAAGCCATGCTTTGAGCCGGCTGGACCCAAATACATTTCCATCTTTCTCCCAGATGTTCGCAATGCAGGGCAATACCGTTCTGTCCGAGGTGCGACCGGAGTTCCTATTTGCCTGTGCCTCACACAAATTGATCCCTGAGTCCAGCATTGAGCGCTTGCTAGGTGAA